CGAACACACTAGTGTCAGTCCCTCGAGGGAGAGTCCATTAGGAATGTCAGGTCGCAAAGATGGGGGTGACTCCTTCAGCGACTCTGCGGCATAAGACAGAAAGAGGTCAAGAAAAGAGCTCGTGGCCCTGAGGACGCAAGCTAGCTCGCTGACGGATCAGATGAGCCAGCTAATGTCGCTAGTGGAAGATACCATGAAGGCAAGCAAGAGGGAGGAGCCAGCTGGCACCATGGAGGGTGCCGCTGATCGCGGCGATGCTAGGGAGAGCGCCGCCGCGGAGTCCACGAACGCCGAAGGAGGGGCACCGTGGACCGGGAGTGCGCAGGACGGGAGGTACCTGCGCGAACCTGTTCGAGAGTCTGACCCGTCAGGGCGACACAGTGGCGAAGCAGGGGGCTGTTAGATATATTGGGGGTACTCATAGCAAAGTATGACGGGTAAGATCTTCAGTACGTACGTACGGAAATTGCAGTGATGAGATGCGGAGGAATCAGAGAGATCCGTTTAGTTGTTTGAGCGTGACGCGTGCTTGATGCCGTGACAGATTTACGAGCACGAGCACGCCCCCGAAGAATACAATACGTTTTCCTATACGTCCCTCCCCTACCANTCAGTACGTACGTACGGAAATTGCAGTGATGAGATGCGGAGGAATCAGAGAGATCCGTTTAGTTGTTTGAGCGTGACGCGTGCTTGATGCCGTGACAGATTTACGAGCACGAGCACGCCCCCGAAGAATACAATACGTTTTCCTTTACGTCCCTCCCCTACCACGGCCCGTCATGGTCCAGCTGCTCTACACTCCCAACACACAGAACTGAGCCACCCGAACTATCGATCACGCTAGCGTATGACACGTCGTCAACGATATTTGTGTCGAGCTTAGTTTGGAGTTACATCGCTTTGCGGCGATCAGCAGCAGTCACCAATGAGCAACCCCGACCGAAACCGAGACCGAGAGAGCGACTGTCAAGCAGTGGACGACGACGCCCGGATCAACGAGTTGGTGAACGAGAGGGTTGCAGCGAGACTGGCCGAGATTACAAGGCAACAAGACGAGCAGCAACAGAGGACAGATCACGTCCGGAGCGGGAACGACCACGAGACACGCCACCAGCAACATGCGGGGCGACCATCGGCCGGTCCGTCCGCAGACGACATCGCCCGCACTCTTGCCGACGCCCTGACCAGCCGTCTTCAAATATCACCCGCAGACACGGGTAGAGTACCAAGTAGCGCAGCCACTCTTAGGATGACTGAGGTTAAGCGCCTAGCGCCGTGGGATGTTATGTATGGGCAAGGCGAGGATGAACAGGCAAGGTTTTTTATTTTTCGATCGAACATGATTGCTATGTTTGCGCAAGAAGGAGTCAGGGAAGTGGTATTGAGTGACCACAGAATTTCAGTCGGGCTAGAAGGAGTAGACACGGAGGACTCGCGTAGGATGCACTTGCCTGATAAGGTAGAAAAGGCGATCACGGCGTGGAATTTTATCATCACGACAGTCACCTACATGCCTGTCTTGACCAAGATTATCGCTGATGGTAGTCCCAGTGGGGGTTGGAAACTATTTCTAGCATATTACGCACCCCAGGCGAGAGCAGAAAAACACGGTTGACTTCGGAATACCATGCCATAAAAATGCGAGTGGGTGAAAGTCCGCAGGAATACTTGGCAGATTTGCTGTTTTGCGCAGTAGGTTAGCCTCACACGGCGTCACATACCCCGACGATGATGCCAATTTGCACGTTGTGTAAAACTTGTCTTCCGAGTACAGAATGGAGAAAGCTATGCTGCGTGCCCTTCCGCCCCCCAATTTGACCCGTCAGCACCTTGAACAGGTGGTGAAAGATGCCCATCAGGATATGGTGACCGCACGGGAGGGGGAGCCGCAGAATGGTGCGGGGCACGCTTTCGTCGCTGGCGGTGGGAACAGGGGCGACGGACGTGTCCAAAATGGGTCCAGTGGGAACGGCGGGGGTAAGGGTGGTAATGGAGGCGGTCGGAGCAGCAACAACAGAGCGGACGGAGACAGGCGCTGCGACTATCATCCGTACTCGTCGCACACCAACAGGGAGTGCTTTACCCAGCGTCGGCAACGGAAGAAGCAGGAGACCAAGCAGCAGCAGCCTCAGCAACAGCAGCAGCCCCAACGACAGCAACAGCCCCCGCAACAGCAGCCGTCTCAGCAGCAACGGCAACGTCGGGGACCGCCGCCGCAGCACCCGAGCCGCAGTGGGGGGGGCTGGGGGGGTGGGTCCCGGCACGGGCCTCACGGCGGCTACGGAGGACAGCAGCATCATGGACATCCAGCTCCCCCTCGTACACCTCAGCAGCAGCGGCGGCCCCCGTACGAGCATGCAAATGTAAGTCAACCGTATGGTGCCGCGCCCCATGAGGGGACCGCGTATGGTAACGAGTATGGGGGGTGGGAGCATCAGCCACAGTATCAGCAACCTTTGCCAGACTACAGCTTCCAGCAGCAGCCGTATTACCCGCCTCCGACAACGTACTACCAGCAGCAGCAGCAGCCACCGCCGCAGCCTCCGCCACCGCCGGCGTTCCAGCAGCAGCCGCAGCCGCAGCCGCACTCGACCCATGCCCCGTACCATTCGCCTCCTCCCGATGCAGCCGGATCCCCTGGGCATCTTCACTTCCTCAAGACACGTTTTGTGTCACAAGGCGAGATCTTTCCAAGTGTGGTAGCGCGTGAGAAT